CACTAACTCATAAAAAAAGTATTGTGTCATCATGTTGTAATCTGTATTGCCGATTTCACAAGCAATATTAAGATTTTGTTAGCACATATCAACAAGCTTGGCACGCTCTAAAATGTAAAAATGCTATATGACACCAAGTTTTCCATTTTGTTTTATTTAAAAAAGATTAGAAATTTTGTTTGAAAAGTTGTAGGGGATTATAAACTCGGACAAACTAAGTGCTGAACAAGCCTAGTGAAAGACCAAAATTATTATGAGTCTCGCTAAAAACCTTATTGAGAAAAAAAAAACTTGTAAAAAAAGGAGGGAAGAAAAAATTTATAAAAAAAAGGAGGGAACAACGGAGAAACTCCCGTAGAAAAAATCCTAACAAGAAAAAGAGTGCATGATCCGGACATCAAATGATAAGCTTACAATCACAAAAATTATCCATATGATCTCCAACAAAAATTCTTCGAACTCTTTCACAGGGCTACCAATATATCAATTACTGTACACATGATAGGATAATGTGAATATGCGATCAAAACTAGCAACTGATTTTTTTTTCTTTTTCTTTTTTAAATTAAAATGAGAGATTTAAACTCTTCACCTTATATAGTGCAGTCACCTATTACTTAAGTCGCACAAAGATATTTTGCACGACGTGCACCATTATTGAAGGTTTATCCAAAAAGAAGAGAAAAATGGATGTATTATTAGTTTAGAAAAGTAAAAAAGTGGCACTTCAATTTCTCATTGGACCAGCCCATCGTTCTAGAAGAAAAAAAAGAAAAAAAAAATGAAGAAAATGATAAATTGATAGAGCATATATCCAAACCAGTTGCCAAATGCTCTTTTTTTTTTTAAATTAAAAGCTTGTTTTCTTCGCTGATTTGAGTTTATAATTTGAGTTAAGATGTGATTTTATGTGAGAGCTTTTTACTGTAACAAAAAAGTTAAATGTGACAATTTTTGAGAACTTTTTACTGTAACAAAACTCAAATTTTAAACTTAAATCGGTAAAGTGAACGGGTCCTTCAAACTTCTAAACCGTTTCCATTACTATTTTGAAATTTTGGTCAATCTTGGTCCTACTTTGAACTGCATGTGGTTTTTGAAACTAGACATCACTAAACTGTGTACCAACAACATACATCTGAAGCCATTAGATTCATTCACAAATCACAACATAGGAAACTACAAAAGAAACCCATATATAAATTACTTGACAAAAAGTAAAAAAATATATATATATGGCTAAGCCCTCCATTTCTCTTCTACTTGTTTGCAGTTTCCTTTTCTGCTTCTTCTTCTTGAGGGTGTCTAAAGCTCATCAATTAGCACCAGCTTTGTACGTGTTTGGAGACTCTAATGTTGATGCCGGCAATAATAATCTCTTCAATACTCATGCTAAAGCAAATTATCCACCTTATGGTATAGATTTTCCTAGTGGAATTATAACGGGCAGACCCACAAATGGTTACAACATAGCCGATTTCTTTGGTAAGTTACAATGAAACAACACCATTTCATTTCTTAAAGATATAGAAATCAATGTAAGAAATATCATAGTTCTTATTTTAATTAATTTTTTATTATTCTTTTTTATCTCCTTAATCGAATAGGATGAGTTGATTCGAGTTTTTAATTCGAGTTGAGATGTGACTTTTTGTGAGAGCTTTTTACTATAGTAAAAAAAATTAAATGTGACTGTTTCTTAGAGCTTTTTACTGTAGCAAAATTCTAATCGGTGAAATGAACGGAGCCGTGTGCAATACCAACTTAATTGGAAGATGCTAAGTCTCTGTACTAAGTTTTTATCTCTCAATTTATTTAAAAAATGTAGAAATATTATAGTGGTGTACTTGTTTTATGGTCTTCTAAATGGTAAATATGAACACCATTTTCCTTGCATATTCTTTAAAACAAACAAACAAACCAAAAAGTAATATATTTCATTTCTGTTTTTCTTTTTTTTCCTAGTTAACAAACAATCCTCTGATGATACCGAGTTGATGGTTTAATTAAATGCAGCTAAATGGCTTGGATTGAATGTCCCACTTGCATTTAGGCTTGTTAATGGTAGCACACAAGTTATCCACCAAGGTTTTAACTATGGATCTTCCTCAGCTGGAATTCTTCCTGATACAGCTACTAAGATGTTTGTAAGATATATTATATTCTTATAAAACTCAATTCTCCTGCTACAATTTAAAAAATATTGCATGAAAATAAAAACCAATGAATTTTTTTTTTGTTTTTGTTTAACTTGATTCATTATGTAATGCAGAAGTGTGTTATGAGCTTGGGTGAACAAGTTGATATGTTTCAGAAAACTGTTGAAGAATATTTGCAGTCACATTTTCAAAGCCACGTCATGAGCCTCTCAGAGCACGTGTCAAAGTCCATTTATCTTGTTGTTATGGGGGTCAACGACATTGGCCTAAATTTTCTTAAAAAAGAAAACAGTACTAATCCTGTTGATTATATAAGGGATGTTCATCTCCTTGTAGAGAAACTTGGAAATCGCTTAAAGGTAAATGAATTTTCTCATCATGAAATTATAAAAGAAAAAATGCAGTGCATTATTCAAATTTTAAAAGAAAAGTATGAAACAAAGCGAGGAATAACATCTAGTTTTATGCTCTTTATTTATTTATTTATTTTGCAGGATTTGTATAAATTGGGAGCCAGAAAGTTTGTGGTGTTTGAAATTGAAGCATTTGGCTGTCTGCCATTTTATGTGAACAAGTTCAAACCAGTGAATTCAAAATGTGTGGATTACTTAAATGCTGTGGTACTTATGTACAATGCAAGACTCGCATTGAAGCTTCAAGAATTGCAATTTAAACTTGAAGGCTCAAATTTCATCCTTGGAAAGTATTATGATTATACCTTAAGTTTGGTGGAAAATCCTAGTCTCTCAGGTTAGTCGCTTTATTAGACCTCTAATGTAAATGCTAATGCCAATGTTATATTTGCCACTAAAAAGTGTGAAAATAAATTGCGTGTTTGGAACTCGTTCTAAAATGATTTTATTTTTTTATATGAAAATGAAAATGAAAATGTTTTCAATCTCAGACATAAATCATTTTTAAAAATGCATTTGCTAGTTTTATCAAGAGATTGTTTTTAGTATAAAAAAAACTCATTAATGTCATTCTCTCATTCTCTCTGAGAGGGGAAAACGAAAACACAAAATGAAAAACGACTAAAAGTCGTTTTTTTCGATCATTTTACACTAAACAAAAAAATCATTTTCATTTCCGTTTTTTATCTTTATTGCGCCAAACGCTGTTTTAGAAATGTTTTCATTTTTTCTTTCTCAAAAAACGTAAAAAATAAAAACATGATCAATTCCAAACACGGCCGACATATTTCATGTGTGATTCTATTTTGTGGTCCAACGAAAGGCTATTTCAAATGTTGTATCATTTTTTGTCATGTATTATCAAGTGTTAAAACTTGCAAAACTATACTATTAATGCTGAAATAATTTTTAAAAAAGTAATGTTGTAATGATTAAGTCAAAAAATAAATATATCAACCAATAGGAATTAAATATTAAATTTAGCATTTGTTATAATTTTTGTACAAATTTACCTCTAAATATAGCATTTGCATTGGAGAGTGAATTTTGGCACTTAAATATTAAAATTTAGCATTAACACATCAATTTGGTATTGCATTGAAGACGCTCTTAGTAGATAAAAATAAAGTTAATTTAGTATATATGTATTGTTGTGACATTATATCGACTGATCGATGTTTTATTTTATTTTATTTTTTTTGGCAGGTCTTAAAGATGCATCTAATCCATGTTGTGTATTGTTGCCATTTGGACTATGTGATCCCAGGAAAGCCCCTTGTAGAGATAGGAATTCTCATGCTTTCTTTGATGCAGTTCACCCAACTGAAGCAGCTTACAAGGTTTTTGCAGAAAGTTGCTTCAGTGGTATAGGCTCATGCGTTCCAATGAATGTTAAGCAACTTGCAACGTTGTAGGATTAGAACAACAGAGAAATTTTCAATAGTACTGAAAAATCTCCCTTCTTTGTAAATTTTTGTCTATGCATGGATGTTGTGCAAGCCCACCCCATGAGGTGGTGATGGCAGTACTAATATATATATATATATATATATATGTATGTATGTATGTGTATATATAATATTAGAATTTCTGTTTGAACCAATGAACCAACGAGATAATTTGCTATATATATATATATATATATATATATATATATAGAGGTAAGGTCTCCGGTCTGGCACTTGAAAAGTGCATGACCAGAACGACAGTTGTATATTTCTGTATAAATTGTGTATATTTACATGTAATTTGTGTATATTTAACATAAAATACAACAAATCAGCCAATATACATATATTTATGTTATGTGTTCACTAATTGCTATAAAAAATATATGTTTTGAGGATTAATATGCATTGTCGTTTCTTATAACTTAACATACACGATTTTACATGTAAATATAAACGATTCACATATAAATATACACAATTTATACATAATTATACAACTGCCGTTCCGGTCAGGCACTTGAAAAGTGCCTGACCGGAGACAATTCATATATATATATACACACACACAAACACACACAAGTTCTTTGTATCATCTTAAGGTTCTTTGTATGTTAGTCATACACAAGTTCTGAAGCTGGGTTTATAACCTGAAGATATGTGGAGTGTGGAACTTTTTATTAGTTGCTGAAATATGGTCCTTTTCATTTTCTCAAGAAAAGGAAACTTCATTCACATTTCAGCAATGACTGCAGTTGCCACACGGGGGCCAACTTTGCTCCTAATCAAAACAACCAAACAGACTTAGAGGTAAACGCCCACTAGGCAGCCTCATGAGCCGCCAAATTCCCCGATCTAGCAACCCAATGCAAAGACAATAAACTAGAAGAAGAAAATTATTCATAACAGAAAGGAAAGTAGGATAAACACGCCACCGCAAATCCGCCACTGAAATATGGTCTTTCAATGGTTATGAAGAGAAAGATGACAAAAACATGAGATGATCATGTATTATTGGCTGAATCCCAGTTTGTTGTTGCAATGTTACACTTGAATCAAAGGAAAAAGTACAATGTGTGAAAAAAAAATATCAGCCATCAAATATCCAACAAGAAGCTAAACAGAAATGAGACATCTAAGATATTGAACAGCCTAAGATCAATCAAGTACAACAAAAATGGAGATACAGGTGCTCAGAATAACGCTCCCAAAATTACATGCCTCTATGGTGTTGAGCTTTTGTGAAGGGTCACTCCCTCAGCCATTGTGCCAAAGCCGGCGCCCATTCGCAGATTTCACCCTCTTTGAACCAGAGAGCTGCAGAATGCAAGCCATGGATGAGAAGACAAACTTGAAAATGGAAGAGAAAGGCAAAAGACCCCCAAGTCAAAAGCAATATTTTAATACAATGCATTTGTAAAGATTTTAATGTCAGGACTAGGAAACCAGCTATAGAGACAGAAACCTAGATTTCTCATCATATTGTTTAGCTTCAGTGAGTGATAGTAAAGCCGTAAGGCCTTTACCTATTTCACGCTTGCCATTCTCAGGGCTGTCGCTCCCATGAACCACATTCCTGCAAAGAAGTTTGTATTTAGACCTTGTTTTCTTCACAATTCATTACTCAATGAGAAAAAGCAATTCATTGCAACCAAGTACAATATAGTGTTTTATTGTACTTAATGTTGATCAGATACCAAAGCATAAACTGGCCCACCTTCCTGTTTGAACAGCAAGATCCCCTCTTATCGTTCCAGGTTCAGCTTGAAGAGGATTCGTAGACCCTATTAACTTACGTGCCGATGCCACAACACCAACGCCCTCCCATGCCTTGTCATCATAGCAACACGGTCAAAGTTCTTGAAAGAATCCAAGCAACGAAACAGAGTACCTCAAAACTCTGTGGTTAAAAGGAAAAAGAACTTACCATACACACAACAGGACCAGATGTAATATACTCAATCAGCGCTGGGAAGAAAGGCTTAGCCTTGAGATCCTTATAATGCTCCTATACAAATGGAAGTTACTTGTCAAATGATCGTCAAACTTGGGGCTTGTTCATTTGCACCCAAACTCAAAAAAAGTTTGAACTCAAGTTACAACTTTATTCAAGTTCATGTTGTTTTGTAAAATTTGAGTTTGAACTAAAGTTTTAACTTGAGTTTGGGGCTAAAATCTGAGTTCAAGTTCCCCCTTCAACTCAAGTTCCTAAATTCAAACTCAAGTTAATGAACAGTATTTTTTATATTCTTAAAAATGTCATAACTTTTTCATTTTAATTCCAATTGAGATGATTTTTTTTATGCGTTCACAACGAAGAGACGAATAAAACCTCACCCATATACCCTATTAAAATTTTTCATTACCATTGAGTTTTTATTAAAATACTATTCAAATACAAGTTCAAGTTTCGACCCACCCAAACACAAACTCAAATAGATTCTTAATTCAAACCATAACTCAAAAATGTGCACATCCAAACACAAACTCAAATTAGAGTCTCAACTCAAACCATACTCAAATACACCTTAACTCAAATCAAGATCTATACTCAAGTCACTCTAACTCAAAAAATGCAAATGAACAAGCCCCAAGTCTATAACATTATTGAACCACATGCTTTTCCATGTTGAGAGCCTGGTTGACAAAGCATTTTGCTTTTGCTTTTAGTCAGTGGAAGAAGAGGAGTAAAAATTATGGCATTTTCTTGAGTATTTGGAACCACATCTTTAAAAGAGCTTAATAGGTCACAATGATTTTAAAATTTTCTAATAAGCAATAAAAATGTAAGAATGTCAACTGAGTTCATAATAATGTCTTACTAAAACTCTGAAACAAGTTTCAAAGACTATTCAAAAGAGCTTTTCTTAGAAGCCATGTTTTGTGGCTTTACCAGTTAGCTCTTTTGGTAAGCAAAAGCTCTTATGAAAAATCTTCCAAACACTTCTAGAAGCAACTTTTGGAGTTAAGATGCCAAAAGCAGCTTCCAAAAAGCTTCGCCAAACAGGCCTTAGAATCATAAATACATAACTATTAATCGCTAATGAATCTCATAAAAAAAAAAAAAAAAAATCCCAACTTCTAAGCCATTACAAATGTAAATCAGAAAGTATGATATATGAAAATACTAGACTTCTTAAAAAAGCACATTGTGAGGGAGTAAGAGCATGGACAAACCTCAGCCAAGTCTGTGGGGCACTGGAAGAGCTTTAGTCCAGTCAATTTAAACCCCTTTTTCTCAAACCTCGAAATTACCTCTCCAACCTAAAACAATTCGACCCACATAGTCAAAACATAGGAAACCAAGCTTAAAATTCAATGCCCATAAAAAAATTTTCCCCCAAAAGCTTTATAAATCAATAAACACATGCTCAATAACAAATTCATTTTTATCTCAACCAATAAGTTTATCTCCGCAACAATCAATTCTTTGTGTTTGTTTTCAGGTAAATTCTCGCGCTTTCTAAGCAACAAAACATGACAAAAGACACTTAGAAAGAGTATATATACAAAAAGAGGTAAGCTAAGAACTTACAAGACCACGTTGAACGCCGTCGGGTTTGACCATTATGTAAGTCTCCTCAACTTCTTCCTGCAGACAAAAAAAGAGATTTTTTTTTTAAATTTTGGAAAATTTTGAAGAAAAATGAGAGAAACACTCAAATGGGGTTCTTAAATTTTTGGAAAAAAAAAAAGTTGAAGAGAGAGAAACAAACCAAGGCAGCGACCAAGCGGGGAAGGAAGATATGGGGTTTGACATGAGGAGGAGTTGAGAAAGAAGATGATGATGATGATGAGAAAAAGTGATGGGATTTGGAGGGAAAAGCTGATAAATGGTGGAAATGGGTGCGTATGATACGCTTGTGGGAGCAGGATAAGCTGCTGCAACTTCTCTCAGGCTGTGAGCTTCGAATAGATGATGAAGAGAGACATGGTCTTCCTCCACCAAACACTGCTACAGCTTCCATTTCTCTCTCTCTCTCTCTCTCTTGTTTTCTCTCTACACGTGATTATATGTTGTTGTACTTATTTCTTTCGTTTTTTTTCCCCCCCGAGCAAAGCATATTCTGTCTACTTGTTCATCAAATAAACGACATGTCGTTTTTTTAATTGACTCAAATTTAACCGCTGCTCATTGGTGAGAGTGAGAATGTACCATTTTTTTGGGATGGACTACACGGGATTTATGGAAACAGTAACTCTTTATTATCTACAAAACGACAAGGATTTTTAGACGGTTAATTAGGGCCGGCAATTTCGGACACGACACGATGAAACGACACGAAAACGACACGAGATAAATGGGTTTAGACCGCACGATTATTAATTGGGTCGTTAACGGGCTGGCACGATATATATATTTATATTTTTTTAAGATAAAACCCTAACTTCTCTAATTCTCTTTCTCTCATTCTCTCATTGTCTCTCATTCTCTCATTCTCTCACAGCCCGTTTTATTTATATTCTCTTGTTTGCATGAAGGGTGTTTGATAAAAGAGTTAACTTAATATAACACTCTAACTTTTAAATAAGTTATGGCATGTTGATAAAATTACAAAATGCCAATGGATTTGTAGATGGATGATTTGTAGATGGACTTGTAGATGGTTGATTACAAAATGCCAATGGATGATTTGTAATGGATAAACCTAAACTTTAAATATGTTTTATGCTTTATGCACTTAAATATGCCAATGGACTTGTAGATGGTTGATTATGTTTTATGCACTTAAATTTTCAAATATTTGGTTATATTTTCAAACTTATTTAAATGTACTTGGTTATGTTTTCAAACTTCTTTAGATGTTTAGTAATTGGTATGTTTTGAAACATATGTCATAAGTGATGTTTTAGATATTTTAATATGTGTTGGCTATTATGCATGAATTTAACTATAAGTGATATTAAGTAGTCAATTAATATAGTTTTGAATATAATATAAAATTCACTATTTTTGCTAGTTGGGTCATAAACGGGTCATAAACGTGTTTTTTTCGTGTCGGCCCGTCACGGCACGTTTAATAATCGTGTTCGCGTGTCGTGTCGTGTTAACCGTGTTATTAGCGTGTCGTGTTCGTGTTTGGATTTTTGACACGTTTATTAATCGTGTCGTGTTCGTGCTCACTATAATCGTGTCGTGCCGTAATCGTGTCAGCCCGAACACGGCCCACGAACACGAATTGCCAGCCCTACGGTTAATGACATGCGGTTTATAGCAGAAACGACAGCAAACTTTTATAGTAAACAAAAATATGTCGTTTAATGATATGAATCACAGAGAACTTTCAACAAATGATGTTTATATTCAAACGACAAATTTGAAGTACAGAACCTTGTCTTTTTTAGTTTTAACGAAGATCTTTTTTTTTTTTTTGAATTTTGGGACAGGAAATTCGAACCCTTCGCCTCATGGTAGAGTCAGGTGTAGTATTATCACTAGACTATGTCTGCAATTATAAATTATTTTTCCAATCTATTTTAGAGATGTCAAAATAGGCCGGGCCTGACGGACTGGCACGAGTACGACACGTTAAAAAATGAGCACGACACGACACGGCATGATTATTACATGGGCCATGCTCATCCCGTTTATTAATTGGGTTGAGCTTGACGCAACTTTTAAGCATGAAACACGTTAAGGGAATGGCATGCTAAGAGCACGGCACGAGCACGTACACGGACACGTTAAAAACATGATAATGGCCCAATTAATGAAGATGAAGTATCAAACTAATTTTATTAATATATATTACATGTCATAAAAATATTTATTTTATTAAGAAGTTTTCTTTATCAAGATTTTATCCTAGTGGGTTTGCTTGGTAAAATTTTTAATGAGGTAATTTTTTTAATTAATGATATGCTTTATTTTGTTAAGACTTTAATGTTTTCATTATGTTAAAAGTTTATTGTTTTAAATATGCTATTTGGCACAACAAATGCATGTTAAGAGCACGGCAAAAGCACGAACACGGTGTAAGTACGTTAAGGGCACGGCCAACATATAAATGGGTCGTGGGCCGGGCTTAACACAAAAAATAAAGGGATAAAGAGGGAAATATGTCAAGACTTGAGATGAATTAAAATTAATAGGTAAATAGTTTATATAAGTTAATAAATATGCCAAATTACTGTTCTTGTCCATAACTTGTCTGGTTATGAACCATAACTTGACAAATTATTGTCCATAATTCACGATTTTTGTCCATAACTTGTCTGGCTATGAACCATAACTTGACAAGTTTGTCCATAACTTATCTGGTTATGAACCATAACTTGACAAGTTATGGCCTATTAATTTATATAACTATAAGTTGGCCTATATACTTTCTTAAGTTTTTCATATTGGTCTATTTTCTACTATTTCTGAAAAATAAATAGACTGTGGGCCGGACTTAACGCCACAAAAAATAAATGGGCCAAGTTCAGCACAACACGATAAATAAATGGACTGGTCCAGAAATGACACGAGACACGTCTAGACCCAATTTAAACGGGCTAGACTAGGTTAAACCGGCGTGATTGACATCTCTAGTCTATTTAAAATGACTTTTTTTTTTCTTAACAAAACGAACTTCATCACTTCAAAAATAAATAAATAAATAAACGAACTTCAGTGGGCAATTAATTTGTCCTTTTGAAGAGGTAAACGAGAGCAATGTTGATGTAACTTCAGGCTTCAATCATACCAAATTATTATAGTACGCATATAACAAATATTTTTGGGGGAAAAAAGGACTAGTGTGATTGTACAAACGACATGTCGTTTAAGACATTACTAAGAACAGCATGTCGTCTTCTGAAAAAGATAGCAAACCTTACACAGAAACATGTAATTCTTATAAGCATTAAGCAACATGCAATTTTCGTTGAGAGAATACAACTTTTAATATTCCTTGTAGTTTATATCCACCATTTCAATGTTCCTTGTATGAAAACTATTTCTTGTTATTTTCTTCCAAGAATATGTCGACCACTGATGCTATTAGAGATAACACGCAAACTTTTGTGGGTGGATTGTGTTGTGTGGGAAAATGTGACGGACACATAGACGAACGATAATGCGACACGTGCCCTTGACTACTCTCCGCCAAGCAACAACCCTCGACGTCTACGGCTCCCTCCTATTTCGTTGGGAAGCCCAAAGCACGAAGTCCAAATTAGGGTGATGATTCCTTCTGGCGTCGACAGATCGAGCCGTCGAGATTAAGGCACGAAGATCCCTCGACCGCAGAAAGGACCGCCAAAGAGGGCAATTGGGCTAAGCAGTGCAGACGACGAGGGGAACGTTCTTTAGAGGACGTGATAGGTTGCGTGCAAAAGTGGAAGATGTCTGCAGGCATTAATTGCAAGCTCTCAAACCGCCCCACAGGGGACAGGAAAGTATTACGGAGAAGCACAGAGCCGTAATAGGAGACTAATTGACTGAGTGAACAGTGCTGATTAGTGGGCAACGTCTGGGCCTACCAAGGAAGAGCACTTGAGTGCTTCCACCTATGAAGGAAACCCGCTAAGCGAAGGAAGCCCAGTATAAAAGAAGGAAGACCCCCAGTAAGGAAGGGGTTTAGAGATTCTAGAAAAGAGATTTAATGAGAGCAATTGTTATAAATTGTTATATTCTCAAAAGAAATACAAAATCACAGTGGATGTAGCTCTCATTTTATAGAGTGAACCACTATAAAATTCCTGGTGTTGTTTGTCTATGCATGATTTAGTTAACACACAAACACACATATTCAACAAATCCTCACACGTTCACTACACACAGGCCAGTAATCCGAAGGGAAACCAAGAGGTAACCCGGCCGGTTTTTGTTGGTGAAATTCGACCGTCAACAATTGGCGACTTTACTGGGGAATGAAAGCGTTCGACCCCCAACAACATAGTTATAAACCGCCATCCATCCAGGGAATAGCGGGATGGAAGAAGATCTACGCCCGGTCAGAAATGAAGTTCCACCTCCAGACGCACCACGGCTGGATCCGATCAAGATGCAGGCCCAACTGACCACTCTAACCGAGCTGGTACGTGGGCTAATGACCGTGGTTGAGCACTTAGATGGAAGGAACTCCATGCCGCCATTAGAAGACGCCCCGAGGCTGCAGGGACCTGCCATGGCAGAAAATCCTAACCACGGTGACTACCCACATATCCAAGAGGGAACCGAAGATAGTGAGAATCACCGGGGCCCTCCTAGGCCTCGGCCTTCCTAATCCTCTGGCGGCCGTTTGGGGGCCGCTGGACTCCGAGCTCTTGAGAACCGGGTACCAAGAGGTCCAGGAAACCCCGAGGTACTATCCCAGAATCCAGGTGGAAACTCGCCAGGAGACTCAGGATCAGTACAGGCAGGCGGCCAGGCCCGAGGCGGACCTAACTCTCAGAGGGCAGAAGCGTCGAGAGTAGCCGGCTCGGCCATTTCGACAGAAGAAGTAGGCGCCATCATGGAACGTATGGCCAGCCTGGAGCAAAAACTGACGGGGGACGTGGCGGGCCTAAAAAAGAATATAGGTCGTGTGGCTGAGGTGGTAAACGTTGATATCACGCCCAGCCGCACACATGACCAGCGCCCAAAAGACCGAGAACCCGTCGGTGTCATACGAACTGTCCTCGGCGGTCCTTATATAGGAGGAGACTCAAGGAGGTCCCAAAAGGACTACGCCCACGAGGCCAGGGGGGTTTATCAGGAGTGATTCTGGAGCGTCTCCGCTGTAAAAACCCCAAGGTACAGTCACACCGACGTGGCCTTTAACGAGGATGATGCCAGTGGGGTTCACTTCCCCCATAACGACGCCTTGGTGGTGGAAGCCATGATAGGAAACCACACCGTGTGCAGAATCCTGGTAGACAATGGGAGCTCGGTGGACCTCCTATACTCCTACTACTTAGAGAAAATGGGGATCCAAAAGGAACAATTGGAAAAAACCTCCAGGCCGCTATATGGTTTCACTGGGGATTCCGTCATCCCCCAGGGGACCATCCGGTTGTCAATAACCGCCGGAGAAAACCCCGACAGGCTACCACAATGGCCAACTTTGTGGTTATAAAAGGAGGCTCCCAATACAACGCCGTGATTGGAAGACCAACCCTTCAAGTGCTAAGGGCCATAACTTCCGTTTACCACCAAAAGGTCAAGTTCCCTACCCCAAATGGCGTAGGAGAAATGAAGAGCAACCAGTATGAAGCTAGGGTTGCATACTCTGATGCCTTGCGCGGATATGACCAGCCAGGAAGACAGGAGGCAATGATGGTTCACTAGAGCCTCGTCGAGGACATAGACCCCATGATCCAAGAAGAAGTCACATGGTCTCAACCCATCGAGCAGTTGGTGGAAATCCAAGTTAATGAAGGCGAGTCCACCAAAGTGTTAAAAATGGGCTCGGGCTTAGCCCCATCACTTAAGGTTGAGATCAAAAACTTCCTCAGGAAGAACTTAGATGTCTTCGCTTGGAATCATTCCGACATGGAAGGGATCGACGCCGAGGTAATATGTCACTCCCTAAACGTCGACCCCTCGTATCCGTCCAGGCGCCAGAAACGTCAACCGATGAACCCCGAGAGGTATGAAGTGCTCAAAGAAGAGGTCGACAAGCTGATCAATAATGGGTTCATCAGGGAGGCCCATTATCCACGTTGGGTATCAAATCTCGTTCTAGTGGTCAAGCCCAACGGAAACTGGAGGACATGCGTCGACTTCAGCGATCTCAACAAAGCCTGCCCGAAGGATGGCTTTCCACTCCCTCGAATAGACCAAATGGTCGACGCCACGGCGGGACATGAGATGTTGAGCTTTATGGATGCCTACTCCGGATACAACCAGATCCCCATGCATCCAGCCAACGAGGAGCACACATCCTTCATAACCGAAAGGGGCCTCTACTGCTACAAGGTGACGCCTTTCGGCCTGAAAAATGCATGGGCTACCTACCAGAGGCTTGTGAATAAAATGTTCGCTCAACAGCTCGGCAAAATGATGGAGGTCTACGTCGACGATATGCTTGTAAAAAGCACCGGGGTCAACCATCACGTCAATTATCTGGGGGAAATGTTTGGTGTGTTAAGAAAATACCACATGAAACTCAATCCCCAGAAATGTACTTTTGGAGTTGGGTCGGGAAAATTCTTCAGTTTTATGGTCAGCAACCGTGGGATTGAAGCTAACCCCGAGAAAATCAAATTCCTACAGGATATGCGGTCCCCAACAAAGCCAAAGGAAGTGCAAAAATTAACAGGATGTGTCGCCGCCCTAAACAGGTTCATATCAAAAGCAACCGACAAATGCGTCCCCTTCTTCGACGCTTTGAAAGGAAGCAAGCGCTTTGAGTGGGCACCACAATGTGAAGAGGCCTTCCAGAAATTGAAGGAACATTTAGGCAAGCCCCCAATTTTGTCAAAACCAAACGTCGACGATGAGCTTAGCCTATACCTCTCCGTGTCCCAACACGCCGTAAGCTCTGTATTAGTAAGAGAAGAAGAGAGGGTGCAATTGTCGATCTACTATGTGAGCAAAAGGCTCCTCGACGCCGAGTCGAGATACAGCGAAATGGAGCGCCTAGCCCTCGCCCTGATGGTAGCTTCAAGGAAGCTTCGGCACTATTTTCAATCTCACACAATACAGGTTCTCACAAACCACCCACTGAGACAGGCTCTACAAAAGCCCGAAACTTCCGGTCGACTCCTCAAATAATCGGTAGAATTAAGCCAGTTTGACATAAAATATGTGCCAAGAACTGCGATCAAGGGCCAAGCGCTCGCCGATTTTCTGGCTGAGTTCTCTCATAGACCAGCTCTTACCGCATCTGGAGAAGTCGAGGTTACAAAATGGAAGCTCTACGTGGATGGGGCGTCGAGCGAAAACGGGTCAGGAGCCGGCGTCTTGTTAATCAGCCCCGAAGGCCACAAGATTACCTCGGCGGTTCGATTTAAATTCAAGGCGTCGAACAATGAGGCAGAATATGAAGCACTAATTGCCGGACTACGGTTAGCCAGCCACCTGAAGATCGAAAAGCTCAGCGTCTTCAGCGATTCTCAATTGGTCGTCACGCAAGTAAAGGAAGAATACCAAGCACGCATCGAGAAGATGAGAGCGTACTTGAGAAAAGTAAAGGAAGAACTCGTTAAGTTTAAAAACTACGAAATACTTCAGATACCACGGGCTGAAAACGCGAACGCCGACGTCCTGGAGAAACTAGCATCTTCAAGAGATTCTGACACCCTGGGGGTCGTTCCCATTGAAGAATTGGAGCGGCCGACCATTGAAGAACGAGCTAAGGCATTAATCGTCCAAGCAGGTGGAAATTGGATGACACCGCTCATCCAATACCTAATGGACGCACATCTGCCAGATAATAAAGATGAAGCCAGACGGGTCAGGTATAGAGCTGCTAGGTACTTATTATACGACGGCTTGCTCTACATCGACGATATGCTTGTAAAAAGCACCAGGGTAGATGTTGTGTGGGAAAATGTGACGGACACATGGACGAACGATAATGCGACACGTGCCCTTGACTACTCTCCGCCAAGCAACAACCCTCGACGTCTATGGCTCCCTCCTATTTCGTTGGGAAGCCCAAAGCACGAAGTCCAAATTAGGGCGACGATTCCTTTTGGCGTCGACAGATCGCGCCATCGAGATTAAGGCATGAAGATCCCTCGACCGCAGAAAGGACCGCCAAAGAGGGCAATTGGGCTAAGCAGCGCAGACGATGAGGGGAACGTTCTTTAGAGGACGTGACGGGTTGCGTACAAAAGTGGAAGACGTCTGCAGGCATTAATTGCAAGCTCTCAAACCGCCCCACAGGAGACAGGAAAGTATTACAGAGAAGCACAGAGCCGTAATAGGAGACTAATTGGCTGAGTGAACAGTGCTGATTAGTGGGCTACGTCTGGGCCTACCAAGGAAGAGCACTTGAGTGCTTCCACCTATGAAGGAAACCCGCTAAGCGAAGGAAGCCCAGTATAAAAGGAGGAAGACCCCCAGTAAGGAAGGGGTTCAGAGATTCCAGAAAAGAGATTTAATGGGAGCAATTATTGTAAATTGTTATCTTCTCAAAAGAAATACAAAATCACAGTGGATGTAGCTCTCGTTTTATAGATTGAACCACTATAAAATTCCTGGTGTTGTTTGTCTATGCATGATTTAGTTAACACACAAACACACATATTCAACAAATCCTCACACGTTCACTACACACAGGCCGGTAATCCGAAGGGAAACCAAGAGGTAACCCGGCCGGTTTTTGTTGGCGAAATTCGACCGTCAACAGATTGTTTTCAATTATTTCTTTTTTCACTTGGCATAGTTTCTCATACAGCCAATATTCTATTTCCAACGTAGAAAAGGCTTATTAAAGAGGACGAAAAAGATTAGTCCATGCCAAGTCCCAACTTCCATGAAAGTTGAAATATGAACAACAGATCATAACCTGCAAAAACAGAATAGAGCAATGGCAGTCAGTTTTTTCTTTTTTATTTGGTCATTTTAAAGAATCAAACAAAAATCAATATGTACAATACTACAAAAAAAATCTCAAAAACACCATAATTATATGCACACCAAAACACACCAAGTACTTTTTATTTAATAATTATATGTTTTAGTCACCCAAATTAACTAGAGCACATTCAAAGCCTAGAAAGACTCTTTTGGACTCACTAGTCTTGGGCAACAAAGTACTTCTTAACAAACACACAAAATTATTCCAAATTCCAACACACACAGTCCTAGACACTAGACTATGTTTTATTAATCAAGCAGTTCCAAAGTGATCATAAAGCAGCCAACCAAATTTAGAGCACATTTTTCACATCACTCTTTTTTTGTGCTTTTTTTTTCCTAGCATTTCCAACAAGAGGCAGCCACAATAGGCCTGGATTTCCAGCCAAGCACCAGGCAACCTTTCTCTTCCACAATGGTGTACCCTTCACAAGCCTCCATCTTCCCAAGCCACTCCCTGGCCAGCGCCACCTTCTTGAGCGGCGCCGCCTGGAACCCGGCCCGGCTCATCCTCCTCCTCCACTGGTCCACCCTCTCATGCCTCTCAAACCTAGCAGGGCCTTCACAGCATATGATATTCTTAATCTCCTCGGCAAAGTAGAACTGCTCAATCTTAGCCCTCTTGGTGTCATACTTAGGCAACATAACGTCCAAGGAATCGAAAATCGCCGAATAGTAATGCAAAGCCTCCATGAACCTCCCAAGGAAGAAAGGCCCATTGTGGCTTGAATCTTGCTCAACCAGGACCAAGACTTTTGGTGAGAGCTCATGAATTGTTTGGAGTACAGAATTCAAAGCTCCTCTGCTCTCTTTCACCACACAATGAAGCTGGAGAATGCTGTTTACCACAATAACTTCTTCTTCACTAGTGGTTATGTCTTTAGTACTCAAATCTTCCAAGTTTAATTTCACTACGAAGAACTCCAGGTTTATTCCCAAACTGCTTGCGTAGAGCTCCAGCTCGTCTCCGATCATTTGGAACCTGTCATCGCCGAGGCCAACCGCAGTAATTCGCAGGCGTTTAGGCGGGTGGCCGGGGCGGGCGGCGAGGCCTCGTATGAGGTCCCGCCATTGGTGTCCATGCGGTAGACCTAAGGACAACCCCAAGTCAACAACATGGACAAAACTCTCTCCCTCAAAGGCTTCTAATATTGCGGCATTAGCCACAAAGTGACCAAATTGAATATGTGGGCAAATCTCATAAACAAGGCGTAAAGCCTCTTCCTTTTTCTCCAGACCATTACGGTAATCAACAGGGTTACCAATCGTAGACCCCACAAAACCAACTGCCCTAAGTGGGCTTACCATCGCTAAGCGATCGGCTAACCCTTGGACAAAGCAAGAAGCGACCCTCTGAAACGATGAGCCAAAGACCAAAGCATTGGCCCTCAGCTCGGACAGCAGCACCGAGGCATGAGCCTTGTCCCGGCAGGCCACGGCCTCGGCACAGGCGATGAGGAGCTGAACAAGCCTAATCTCGTCGGCCTCTCCATCATCGGAGGAGCCTCCGCCATCTTGATCGTCTCCCATTAGGGCTGCAGCCGCCTCCTCGACAGCCTCAGCCGCAAGGTATCTTTGCGAGTAGGTCCATACATGGTCGCGAAACTGCAGCTTCGACGGGCTATTCAGGCTGTTAGTGCTGGCGCTGCGGCTGATGCCACTGCTATAACTGCTTCCTCCTCCGCTGCCGCCGCTATAAGGAATAAAAATATTACTATTATTGCTCGGTACTGATTCGGGGTCGAAACTCACATTTCGCCTCATCCTCTTGTGTTCTCTGGTCTCTTCTGAAAAGGGTAGGCCATTGACGTGGCTTTGCAATGTGGGCATGTAAGGAAAAGGGTACCAAGCCATGGCTGACAAAGTAAGCTCAAGACCATTCAGTTGGTCAACATTAGTCCTTTCATTGCCATTGATATGGTAATTACCAGCCATTTCTTGAGCCTACCCTTTATTTTATTTTTCTCTTTGCTTTTATTTGCTCTCTTTATTTAGAGGTATATTCAATAAGGCCCTGAAAGACCCATCCCCAAGAGATCATGCTTATAAAGAACTACACGCACGCTTTCTTTTCTTGTTAACGAGAAAACCAAGGCTCTCTCTCTCTCTCTCTCTCTCTCTCTCCCTCTGTGTGAAAACACCAGATTCTCGCGCTCTTCTCTCTCTCTCTCTCTCTCTCTCTCTCTCTCTCTCTCTCTCTCTCTCTCTCTCTAATATATATATATATATATATATTAAAAAATGATGATTAAAACATAACAAAAAAAAAAAGAAGAAAGAAGAAAAGGAAGTGAGGCCAAAAGAATATATTTTGGATGCATTGGTTGATGTCTTCCAAAAACTAGGCATAACGCGACAAAAAAAGCATAGAACAATGAAAGGGAAAATCATTTCTGTCGTTCTCCCACCGTTTTGGAATTGCGTTTTTGTTCCACATCTCCAGAGCCGACAATGGAAATACTTTAAATAGGATCACCTCTCATCTTTCATTGTTGTCTTCATTTCCGCAAAGGCACAAACTTTTTACACTTCTACTTAGCTCTTGTTAACATTTTTTACTCTAGTGGATAAGTTCCCTAATCCTTGAAATTCCTTAATTGAGTAGACTGATCGTGATGCACTAAGGCTCGTCTATAAAGATTTATGTTTCTAAATCAATTTCTTTAATTTGTAAAGATAATGTTACAAAACCCAAGTTTTTAAATTGACATGATAATGAAATTCCTTGTGTTTAATTTACTAAAATGTGAGATTAATCTACTGCATGTTTTGAAAAATATGAACATTCTTTTGTCTTTTTAAATTGCGCAAAATGTATCTCTAATATTGGATTTGGTCAAAATAATTATACAAAAAGGCATTAGGGTCTTTCAATATAAAAATATATGATGGTTCTCTAAAAGAATCCTAAAGGCACTGATTTTGATCTTCAATATTCTTTGGCATTTAATATAAAACAATTTTGATTTTTCTTATATGTCTAATTTGTGTTGAATACTCGACAAAGTTGCCACCCTTTAAGATCAAATGGGCGTTTATGCAGGACAAGTTTCTTTTCTTACATATCATGAATAAATTTTGTGTGCTTAAAGAATAATCTTTACGTTTTTTTAAAAAAACAAATACAGGATGATTTTCACATTTATATTAAACACAAAAGAAGATTTTGATATTATCTATTTTTAAATTTAAACACGAATTACTAATGGATCTTCCTTTTAGCTAAACTGGTCAATTCAGAAAGAGTTAATCCCACAAATGATCTCTGAAGTTTACCCTCAATCTCACTTTAATCCATGACTTTTAAAACGCCGCATAGTTGGTCTCTGAGATTTTATTTTGTTTCAGCTTCGGTTCTTCTATTAACTAGATGTTAGATATTTGAAGGAATGTGTAGAAATTAGGGATCAAAATTGAAAATATCTAAAGTTTAGGGACTAAAACAATAAAAATAAAATTTTAGTTTACACATATAGTCTCTAAATTTTAAATGTTTTCAATTTTGGTATTTAATTTATATATATTTCATCAAATATTTAACACCTAACAGAATGACTGAAACTGAAACAAAGTAAAATTTCAAGAATATGTGAGACGTTTTAAAAATTATGAATTAAAATGAGATTAAAAGTACACTTCGCAGACCGAATTAACCCTTCAGAAAAAAATTATATTGTCAAGGGTAAAGTTTTCCTCTTATTGACACAATCCTTGTAAGGTAACATTTATAACTTTATGGACCTAGTGTTACTATACAATCAATGCCCTACTACATAATTTTCTTGTGGAAGGCACAAGTACTTTCTTTGTCGTCAACACTCAGAAATTATTCAAACCCAGATGAAAGCAATAGTGGAGGCAGGTTGGAGTGGGACCAGGCAAATGTGGGTCCCAGGTCCCTCGTGTGCAAGAATTATGTATTATATATAATCAACTCTTGCACTATAATACTTTTGGCATATGCAATGACGCATGCATATATATGCATGCATGCATGCATGCAGTATCATGATCAATTATAAACTCGCCGGCTTCGCGTAACAACATTCATAAAGTACCAACTATGTGGCCCAAATTTTGTGCCTCGAGTCGTCTTTGAGAACTCTACGCTTTCAACTTGTACGTATATATGTATAAATATAAGAACATAAATATTTTTTTTAGTGCACATTGGATACTATATTTTCGTACCATGAATTAACTATACGTATAAATATAACGATATATAATACATGCATGGGTTGTTAAATTTTCATATATAGGATAATAATCTTGTTCTTCACGACCTGTGTGTGACCATAGCACATTCCTGAATATATTCTTGTGTTTCCTTCCCTACCAACACAATAAGAAACTAAAATAGCATCTTAAATGTAAATGTTAATTATTAATATTAATTGTGTATTTAATATTAAAAAGTATAATAAGGCATGTTATTTTCAATTATACTCTAATACATAATGCTATTTGAAATGCTAAAGTCTACTTTTTATATAATCATTAAGTTTTGTAAGTTGTAAAAGTAAATTTTTAGTTTTAAACTAAATTGAAAGAGTAAAAGTTGTAATGATTTAATGACAAAGTAACCATTGTCAAATTTGTCATATGTTATACTTAATGAGAAATTACCACAAAATATAACATAGTAAATTTAACACAACAAATAGCATTGTATTAGAGTGTTTTTGTATTCAAATGTCAAATTTACAATCGGCACATTATTTATCACATTGCATTAGAGATGTTCTGAGATCATCTTATTCTGCCGTTTTAGATTGTCAACGCCGACTAGCTGTGACCTTGATTCAACATTGGACAGTGAAGAAAGCTCCTTGGACAGAAGTTTTGTTGTGGTTTATTATAGATAGTTAGATAATTAGATTAGGTTAGATTGTTTCCAGATGTCCAGAAATAATAAAGTTCATGAGCTAAATTACTTTTTTTTTTTTTTTTAAAAAAGATTATAAAGCGACTGCATATTCTGATTCTTACAATAATAACAATGAAAATTAGATAAACAAGAAAAAATGTGGCAAAAAGGATTTGTTGTCAAGGAGTACTATAGTAGAATTGAAAAGTACGTGTAAATGCCTCGGGAATCTCAGGTTTAGAAAATATTGGAAGTTTTGCCAAATGGAGTCTCATGGTTTCATTTTCTTTCCTCTCTGAATTATGGAATGAAACAAACAAAAATTAATTTTTTTTAGAAAAAGTTCTTTTTTTTATTTCACAGAACCGAATCTGCGCCCTCTCAAACTCAAGTCTCATCCCAATTAACTCCAAAAAAGCTCTTTTCTTTTCTTTTTTTTTTTTTTTTTTTTTTTTTTTTTTTTTTTTTTTTACAACTAAGCGTTACTCGTCCTATTCCTTGTCTTGAATGCCATGCTTGTATTATCATGAGCACTAACAAGAATTTCGAGGAGTAATATTAATTCATGTACTCTAACATCATTAGGCAAGAGATCCTTGAGTGATCAATATTTTATATATGTTTCATACATATATATAGGGAGTTAATAATAGTGTTGTAGATATCTATTTTGTAAAGTGTGTATTTTAGGCCTCGTTCATTTCGCTGATTCGAGTTTAAAATTCGAGTTTTGCTATAGTAAAAAGCTCTCATAAACAATCACATATAACTTTTTTGCTACAGTAAAAAGCTCTCACATAAAGTCACATCTTAACTCGAATTAAAAACTCGAATCTTAACTCGAATTTATTTCTTCACTTTAGAACATTCGGAGACTTACTCATGTTTGAGTTCTTTGTATTTGTGTGTGTGTGTGTGTGTATATATATATATAATATCATCACAATCAATGAAAAAAGGCATATGCCATATTTTTTTTTCTTTTTGCTTCTTTTTTCTTTCCAATATTTAATTCTTTTAAGATGACAATGAGTAGATTAGGTCTGGTTTAACTTCAACTGCCATTTGTCAAGGTATATATACGAGAGAAAATCTCTAAGGACTCGCGGCTGCATGCCTAGCTAACCCGAAATTTTGTATTGAGTTCGTTAAGAATTAGGTGATTAGTATAATATTATGATGTAACGATGTTCTTGTTTAATTATCTTGGTCATAGAATGTTTAATTAAGATATTCGGCAAATATTGTTCCCCAGCTAGGATTCCAAGTTCCTCTGGGACCTTTCCACAAAAAAAAAAAAAAAAAGAGGGAGAAACAAAAAAAACAAAAACATTCGAGTTTGAAAATGTGTAAAAAAAAAAAAGTAAATAAATAAAATAAAAATTGTTGTGTTTCCCTTCCTAGTAATTTCCAGGCATAAAATTTGTCTTCAAATAGACGTAAGACTTTTTCCCCAAATTTCATTTGCCTTTTTGTTGTTGTTTATTATGAGGCTGCTTTCGTTCAGAATTATTGTCGCTATTGAACTTTTTGTCGTCAGTGACTCCAATGTCGTTTTCTCGATTATTAACACGCGCGCGTCTATAAAGTTGCGGTCCTTTTTATACAGCATTCCTATAGTTTATTTTATCGATTTAAATTTTAAATTTTAAATTTTAAATTTTTATAATATAAAATTTTAAAAAAATATCATATTTAATTTTTTTATTATAATAAAAAATTCTTAAAAAATATTATATTTTAATTTAAATTAAAAACTTGAATCCTCAAAGTGAATGAGACCTAAGAGATGTTATTTTTATTATCGTTTTAACACTCATTTGGAACCCGTTTGGTTAAAAGATTATTTTCTGATTTGAATTATGATTCATAATTTATTATAATATTTTTTTTTATAAAAAATAAACATAAATTAAAAATAATTTTAATCTTATAATTTTAATTTATGAACTAAACGGATTCTTATTATTTTTAGGGTACTATTTTTTTTTTAAATAAAATAAAAGAAAAACTGCTTTATTGACGATTAAAAGCCACTAAATCGGCAGAACAGACTGACAAATAA